CGCGTATTTTTTTTTTTTTTTTTTTTTTTTTTTTTTTTTTACAAAATATTATAAAGCATCTTATTGATGTTCACTTAAAAGAGAAATAATTGACAAGTATTTGAAAGAAGATTACACTAGAAACACAGAGGACGTAGTACACCCATTCCTGAATTGGAGGCAAACTGTACATTAGAGTTTTCCTGCTTTTCATAAGGGACTCTGCATGGGCTAAGAAGGGTTGTATAGATGGCAAGGATACAGGTCCCAATTCTGATGTCTTGATGAAGATATTATGAACTACTCACCTCAGAGGGGTTATTTTTGATCACCAACTCAGCTACCCAGGACTCCCTAGATTTTGCTGCTCTGAAAAATTTACCAGTACTTTTTTTTATTTTTGGTTTTTCCAGACAGTTTCTCTTTTGTAGCCCAGGCTATCCTGGAATTTGCTTTGTAGACCAGGCTGGCCTCAAACTCACAGAGATTCACCTGCCCCTGTCTCCCAAGTGCTGGGACTAAAGGTGTACACCACCACTGCCTGGGTGCAGTGCCAAATTCTTAACATCTTCCAGGTAGTGATAGAAAGAATGGAGAGTGGGAACGAATGCTTGAAATATTTAAAGGATAGTTATGTATTTCTAAACTGGCTTACTGAAAACATGTTAAGTTTAGGTTTTGCTTGGTCATATAACTGTATGTTTTGAAGTAGAAATGTTTTATGTATTTATACACATTAAAATGTCTGCTATCATAAAGCAAATTAACATTATCTTCCAACTCAATGTATCTTGCCTTGTTACTCTTTACATAAAATGGTATCCTGAAGAATTTTATAAGTACAACCCCTTCTGGAAGGTAGTACTGTTGTCTATAAAGTCACGCATCACTGACTGCCACTCCACGTGCTCATGCACTGTTTGAATTACCACACTTTAGGGCAGGCTCCATGCCCAGTAATTGACCAGTACAAAAACACAATCAATGATATTTTTATATACTTTTTACTAATTTAATTTTTACATTCTAATCCCAGTTTCCCTTTCCTCCTCTCCTTCTGCTCCCTTCATTCCCACCCCCCCACCTTCCATCTGCTCCTCAGAGAGGGTCAGGCTTCCCCTAGGAAGTCTACTAAGTCTGCCCCATCATCTCATTGAAACAGGACCATGGCACCTCCCCACCTCCCACACCCCTGTGTCTAAGCTGAGCAAGGCATCTCTCTCCAAATAGAATGGGTTCTAATAAGTCAGTTTGTGCATTAGAGTTAGATCTTGAACCCACTGCCAGTAGCCTCATATATTGTCCCAGCCACACCATTGTTGCCTATATTAAGGGTGTCTAACTTGGTCTTATGTAGGTTCCCCATTTATCAGGCCAGAGTCACTAGCTTGGGTCAGCTGATTCTGTGGGTTTCCCCATCATGTCTTGACTCCTTTGTTCATTTTATCGTTCATCACATCAATTGTACTCCAAGAGCTTGGCCCATTGATTACTTGTGGACTTCTGCATCTGCTTCCATCTGTTTCTGGAAGAGGGTTCTAGCTTCTATGGGGTTGTGGATTGTAGACTGGGTATCTTTTGCTTTATATCTGGTATCCACTTATGATCGAGTACACACTTTTTTGTTTTTCTGGGTCCGGGTTACCTCACTCAGGATGTTTTTTCTAATTCTGTCCATTTGCCTGAAAATTTTAGGATGTCTTTGTTTCTTAACATTGAGTAGTACTCCATTGTGTAAATGTACCACAATGTATTTATCCATTCTTCAGTTGAGGGGCATCTAGGTTGTTTCCAAGATCTGGCTATTACAAATAATGTTACTATGAACATAGTTGGGCAAATATCCTTGTGGTATGAATGTGCCTCCTTTGGGTATATGCCCAAAAGTGGTATTGCAGGGTCTTGAGTTAGGTTGATCCCTAATATTCTGAGAAATCACCATACTGATTTCCACAGTGGCTGTACAAGTTTGCACTCCCAGCAGCAATAGAAGAGGGTTCCCCTTTCTCTACATCCTCTCCAGCATAAGCTATCATTGGTATTTTTGATCTCAGCCATTCTGATCAGTGTAAGATGGAATCTCCGAGTTGTTTTGATTTGTGTTTCCCTGATGACTAAGGGTGTTGATCATTTCCTGAAATGTCTTTTCACCATTTGAGACTGTCCTGTTGAGAATTCTCTGTGTAGATCTATACCCTATTTTTTAATTGGATCATTTGGTAGTTTGATACCTAGTTTTTTGAGTTCTTTGAATATTTTGGAGATCAGATCTCTATCAGATATGGGGTTGGTAAAGATCTTTTCCCATTCTGTAGGGAGCTATTTTGTCTGGTTGACTGTGTTCTTTGTTTTAAAGAAGCATCTCAGTTTCAAGAGGTCCAATTTATTAATTGTGGCTCTCAGTGTCTGTGCTACTGATGTTCTATTTAGGAAGTGGTCTCCTGTGCCCAAGTATTCAAGTGTATTTCCCACTTTCTCTTCTATGAGGTTCAATGTGGATAGATTTGTATTGAGGTCTTTGATCATTTAGACTTGAGTTTTGTGCATGATGATAGATATGGATCTATTTGCATTTTTCTACATGTCAACAGCCAATTATACCAACATCATTTGTTGAATATGCTTTCTTTTGTCCATTTTATATTTTTGCTTCTTTGTCAAAAACTAGGTATTCAGAGGTGTGTGGGTTGTTTTCAATTCAATTTGGTCTGCCTGTCTGTTTTTATGTCAATACAAAGCGGTTTTCATTACTATAGCTCTATAGAAGGGCTTGAAGTCAGGGATGGTGGTGTCCCCAGATGATCCTTTATTGTACAGGGTTGGTTTGGCTATCCTGTTTTTTTGTTTGTTTGTTTTCCCATAGGAAATTGTTCTTTTGAGGTCTGTGAAGAATTCTATTGGGATTTTGATGGGATTGCATTAATTGTAGATTGCTTTTGGTAGGATTGCTATTTTTACTATGTTGATCATATCTATCCAAGAGGATGATTGATCTTTCCATTTTTTTATCTTCTTTAAAGACAAAGTTCTTGTCATACAGGTCTTTCACTTGTTTGGTTAGAGTTACCCCAAGATATTTTATGTTATTGTAGCTATTGTAAAGGATGAAGTTTCTCTTATTTCTTTCTCAGCCTGTTTATCATCTGTATATAGGAAGACTACTGATTTTTTTTTTTTTAGTTAATCTTGTATCCTGCTAATTACCAAAGGTGTTTTTCAGTTGTAGGAGTTCTCTGGTAGAATTTTTTGGGTCACTTATGTAAACTATCATTTCATCAGTTAATAGTGATATACATTCTTTTCCAATGTGTATCCCATTGATCTCCTTTTGTTGTCTTATTGCTCTAGCTAGAACATTGAGTACTATACTGAATAGATATGGAGAATATGGACAGCCTTGTCTTGTTCCTGATTTCAGTGGGATCGCTTTGAGTTTCTCTACATTTAGTTTGATATTGGCTGTTGGGTTACCGTATATTGCCTTATTGTGTTTAGATATGTCCCTTGTATCCCTGATCTCTCCAAGACCTTTATCATGAAGGGGTGTTGGATTTTGTTGAAGACTTTTTCAGCATCTAATGAGATGATCATGTGGTTTTTCTTTTTCAGTTGGTTTATATGATGGATTACATTGATGGATATTCGTATGTTGAACCATCCCTGCATCTCTGAGATGAATCCTATTTGGTCATGGTGGATGATTTTTCTGATGTGTTCTTGGATTTGATTTGCCAGCATTTTACTGATTATTTTTGCATCTATGTTCATGAGGGAAATTGGTCTGTAATTCTCTTTCTTAGTTGTGTCTTTGTGTGGTTTGGGTATCATGATAACTGAAACCTCATAAAAAGAATTTGGCAATCTTCCTTCTGTTTCTATTGTGTGGAATAATTTGAGGAGTACTGGTATTAGTTCTTTGAATATTTGGTAGGATTCTATGCTGAAACCATCTGGGCCTGGGCTTTTTTAAGTTGGGAGACTATTAATAACTGTTTCTAAACCCTTAGGGGTTATAGGTGAATTTAAGTTGTTGATTAGTTCCTGATTTAATTTTGGTATGTGGTACTTATCTAGAAACTTGTCCATCTCCTTAAAGTTTTCTGCAATACAGGCTTTTAAAGTATGTCCTCATGATTCTCTGGATTTCCTCAGTGTCTATTGTTATGTCCCCCTTTTTTGTTTTTTATTTTGTTAATTTGGATATTCTCCCTCTCTCTTTTGGTTAGTTTGGATAAAGGTTTGTCTATTTTGTTAATTTGAAGTCTATTTTGTTAGATATTAGGATAGCTATACCAGCTTGTTTCTTAGGTCCATTTGATTGTATGCAGCAGAAGGATGGATTCTGTTTTTGTAACCAACTATTAACCTATGTCTTTTTATAGGTGAGTTGAGACCATTTATATTAATGCATATTAATGACCAATGATTACTAGTTCCTGTTATTTTTTATTTTGTTGGTGGTAATGGCATTGTGTGTTCAATTCCCTTCTTTGGGATTTGTTGCTGTAAACTCATCTATTTCCTGTGTTCTTGTGGATGTAGCTGACTTCCTTGGGTTGGGATTTTTCCTTCTAGTACTTTCTGTGACTGTGTTGGTGCCTGAGGACCAATCTGAGTGATCTGTGCTGTTACCTTGGACCATGGTGACATCTGGGCCCAAGCTGATGCTGAGGGTCATGTCTGGGTATGTGTTCCTGCTGCAGCTGGAGTCTGTGATGGTGTCCATGGCCTGTTTTGCCACAAGGAGTCATAGGAACCATATGGGCTCAAATATGAGGGCTGTGCTGCACTGGCCCCATCCCTCACTGGCCCTGAAATAGCTGGCCCTGGAATAGCTGGCCCTGCCTCTTGTTGGATACTGCAGCAGTGGAGTTGGCCCCACCCCTCATGGGAAAGCTGGCCCCTACACTTGGGAGAGATGGTCTCACTCCTCACCAGGGAGGTGGGAAAGCTGGCCCCAATGTCATTAGCTTAGGAAAGATGGCTCTGCCCCTTGCCTGAGGCGGGTGGTCCCAGTGGCCCAGACTGACCAGCTACTACCCGGATCCACATCCTGGACCTTGGGTTGGCCCACCCTAATATGTGCCCCATCTCTGACCTGCTGGAGTACATGAAGGACTGGTCCTCTGGAACAATAGCCACAGGATCCCCATGACTCAGGGTAACAACAGGATATCTGAGAGGAATTTCAGTGAGAGTCCAGTGATAATGATGTGCCCAAGACCTTGAACCAGACCTGACTCATTGCAATGAGTATTTGTGGGTAGGGCTGATTGGACAAAGGGGTATACAGTGTGACACACCAAAGCACCCAATGCCACTAGAATGAATAAAGAGGTTTTGGAAAGACAGAGGAGCAAGGTAGATTTTTTGTTTGTTTTTAATTGATCTTTGTGGGGTTCTTTTGGGGAAGGGATGCTGCAGGGGTGAGGGGAGGATATGGAGGGACTGGCAGGTGAGTGGGATCGGGGTGTAAAATAGGAAATTCCCAAAGAATCAATAAAGAATTATGTTATAAAAAGAGAGAGAGAGAGAAAGAAAGAAAGGGCATGGAGTTGGGTAGGACTTGGGAGGAGTTGAAGAAGGGGAAAAGTGGGATCAGAATGTATACTATAAAATCTATTTAATAATAAAGAAAATTATATAACATGTACTCTTGTTAAACACTTAAATTCAAATGGTATAATAAATGTTAATTTTTTATAAAACTACTTTTGTATGTCTGTAAACACTAGAATAATTTATTAAAATGTTGTACCAGTATAGGAAAAAAGTATATGATGGTATAGTAAAAACAAATCACCTTTGAATTGTATAAACTAATTACACTAATTTAAACTGGTAGTTGTTAGATATCCTCTGAAATACCATGACTGTTTAAAGATTGTTTAACTTGAAATTCCATTTATTCTTACAGCAATTTTTAAAATAAAACTTTTAGGAGTCATGTAGGAAAAGAATGTGACATGAAACACTTGTCTTTTGCAGTCTTTCCAGTACTAATAAGAGGCTACAGCATGAAAACTCAAGGCTTGCCTTTGAGATTACGAAGTACAGACATGTATACAACCATGAGGACAGAGATTCCGCCACAACAGGAATTTCTGATGGAAATCTTCAGAATGATTTTTGGACTCTACAGAACAGAAACACATGTTGGAAGCCATTATTTCCAAACGAAAGCCTAGAATCACCTCTTGGAGGCAAAACTTGCTGGGGTTAGTTATGGTCTCAACTTTCTACTTTTAGCAGCACACAGTTGGTGTGTTCTGTCACCTTTGAGTTTCTCTACATTTAGTTTGATATTGGCTGTTGGGTTACCGTATATTGCCTTATTGTGTTTTCAGTTTGATGAACTACTGAGTTGTATAGTAGACTCGAAGCTCTCACTTTGCATACACACTCGTTAATTTGAGTCAGTAAATGGAACTAAGTTGGTATATTTTAAATTTCCTTGTAGCTGGAATCTGAATTAGATTTTTTGAGGTTATTGAGATGGCACAGTGGGTAGAGGTGCTTGCCACCATGTGACAACCTGAGTTTAATCCCTGGGTGCCACAAGGTGGGAGGAGAGAACCTCTTCAAAGTTGTCTTCTGACCTCAACACGGGTGTTGTGACATAATCATGCCTCCACATCCCATAAGTAAGGAAATGTAGCACAGATTTTAAAAAGAGATGTTTAGATAAAGACTATCACTACCAATAACTTAAGATATATTCTAAGCATATTCGTTTTAGCTTTTAGGTGATAATACTTTGTATGGGTGGTAAGACTTTTAGTGATTTTTTTTCTGAACAATCTCCTGGGTTAAACATCTGTCATTTTAAGTTGAAGACTGACAAAGACTTAGCCACACGTAGATGGTTTAGTTCAAAATATCTGCAAACACTATGAATTACAAAAATATAGAAATATGAACGTTTTATAGCTCAGATTTTCCATTTTCTTAAATGAAAGTGAGCCCTAAATTTCCATTTTCTTTATGCCACCTTTACCCTGTCTTGCTGGTTTCACTGTCTGTTTGACTCAGAATTATTCTAGGGTATGTTTCTTAGTTTAAGAATAGCCAAGTAATTTCTAGAGATGCTTTAAAAAATTACCCCTCTCTTTATTTTTTAAGTTGAAAATAACATTTTCATACAGTATATTCTGGTCATGGTTTTTCCTCCCTGCCTCTTCCCAAATCCTCCTCATTTCTCCATCCATTCAAATCCACACCTTGTCTTTAGAAAACAAATGGGATGATAAACAACTGGAATAAAACAGAACAGATAAACCAAAAAGAAAAGGAAAAACAAAACAAATCACCCTCCAAAACCCTAAAAACAAAGAAAAAGCATGAGAAATACAAACACACATGACCACATGTGCACACATGTACACAAAGTGCATAAATTTAGTTAGGGGCTTTAAAGACATTTATGCATAATGGAACAAATCAGTCATCTTATGTAATTATTCTTAAATGCAAGGGTTTTGAACTGTAACTCAGAAAATATTTTATTAAGCCCTTCTGGAAGGCAGCCATCAACCTGCCAAATTATATCGTTCATATTCATTTCTTTCCCTCCCATTTATTTGAGAGATTTCCTAACCTGCAATCTCCCTGGAAACATCAGTGCTTTTAGCAGCACACAGTTGGTGTGTTCTGTCACCTTTTCATTGTTAAGACTCTACTTAGTGGGGATTCTATTTATGCCGATAGTATTTATTTTTGAGATGGTGGAATTAGGAAAACAAAAAAGTGTGTTCACATGAATTGTAAATCAGTTGCAGTCTATTATGTAACCCTGCTATTAAAATGTCCATTTCAACCAGTGCACTTGCTACAGAGCTTTGGTGGTCTTTTCATGGTTTCTTTAAACACAGAAAATAGGTCATGCCTGTGTGAAGGGTGTCCTTTGCTTCATTTGTTTTCTCACCTTCATGCATATCCAGTAAATCACACAGGGACAAATCTAAGGTCCCCAGGACAGCGTTGCACTGAAATTATATCATTCAAGAGCAAGGAATTAATGGTATCATTGTTTAGTTTTCATCTTTCCTTCACTTTTCTGTAGTTTTTAAGAAGAAGCAGGATAAGAGTCTACATATTTCAGAGGCATAAAATTGGACCACAGCAAACCAAAAGTGAATGAATGTGAAATTGTGAAACGTGTTATAAATGAATGTAGTTCTCACCAGTCATCACTGGAGAATTCAGGCAGTGTATCATTTTGCAGAAACATGATAAGTTCTTATGTAAATAAAGATAGGATCCAAAAGGTTCTGAAGGCCTTCACCCCTTAATATGTTCAAGAAAAAAAGGAGGTTTATTTCCTAAGTTGAAAAAAATTATCATGCTCCTGCAAAATGAAACATTACCTGAATTTTCCAGTGATGTCATCCTTTGACATATGTAGCTAAGCCCTGTGGCGGCACAGTCCTGAACCATTTAGCTATCATGAGGCTGTGACAGGTAGTAGAAAATTTCAGGCTGGAGGCCCTCCCTGCTCAGCACAGATCACAAACCTCCAGGGTTAAAGTAACAAAACTTCATGAAGCTCTTCAACATCTTTGAATTATTTTTCTCATGTTTTTTCACAAGGTCTCTTTATTTATTTACTTATTTACTTATTTATTTGTTAGACCCACGGAAAACTCAGGTGTCTGGGGTCCCAGGCCACGACCTCAGTCACCCCAATCACCAGGCGGATTCGAGAGCTTGCTGCAAACTGCATGAGGCTTTATTGTAATTTAACGAGCTAACCCCATGTTAGCTCGGGTCTTTCACCCACCCGCCATGGCGGATGGCTCAAAAAAGACTATGAGAAGCCACAGGAAACAAGATCTTATAGGGCAGTGTAAGGGGAGTGTCTTGGGGTACGCACAGGCTCACTATTGGTGTACCCTCCAGGCTTGGAGGGCTTGCCCTGTGTTGATTGTTGATTGTTATGGCCCATAGGCTCCCAGGGTGGTTGCTATGCTCTGTGTCATTGCTGTGCGCTTGTCCGTAAAGTACACCCAGGGTCGTAAAGCATAGCGCCACCAGCTAACTTCTGATTGGTTCCTTGTCACGAGGCAGGCGTCTGACCTCTAAGTGACCAAGGCAAGGTTATGGCAAGCACGTGTTCGGCCGCTATGACTGCCAAAAGGGGAGCTGCTCCCTTCAATTTATATATTTGAATTATAAACAAGATTGAATTACATGACGATCCCAGTTCCCTTCTCCCTCCCTTCCTCCTCTACCACCCCCCAACTAAAATCCTACCTGTCATATGTCTTTCTTCTAATCTACACCTGACTCAAAATTTCTGCTTCCTCATGACCTCTGCATCCTTCTTTTCTTCCCTTCTCACACTCGTAGCTTCCTCCCCCTCTTCCCATGCTCTCAATTTGCTCAGGGGATGGTGACCCTTTCCCCTTCTCCAGGGGACAAAGTTTGTCTCTTTTAGGGTCTTCTTTGTTTACTAGTATCTCTGGCAGTCACAAGGTCTCTTAATGTGTTTATTGATCTGCAACTAATTCTTCAGTGTCTCAGTCATCCTATTGCTTCAGATTAAATTGTACAAAGACAGCAAGTTCCTTATTCTCATTGGACAGCCTATACTAAGACACTTAGCGTTTCTCTGTATGAGTCAATACAGGGAGACTGGGTCTAATGCCTGGAAACTGGAAAGTTCTGCTGTGTCCACAGTACCTTGTGGGCAAACGCTGCACCTTGAATCTATTCAGTGTTGCTCACATGTACACGTTTCAGGCAGACCACTTTGGGATTTATCCATTTGCTCCTAATAATGGTGTCACCACGTGATCCAAGGCAGTGCCTGTGCTGTCCTCTTGGACAGGTATCTTGACCTGAACTATGTGGCAGGGACGCCAGTTATCAGGAGACCTTCTATTTTCATCCCACCCCTAATTCCCATTGCTACTCTGTGGGCTCCAGACTATTTCCTGTTTACTTTTTTCTTTTCAGTTTGAGCAAGGGACGTTGTTGGCTGATTGAGAATGCTGAATACAGAGGAGGAGGAAGATGGAGTCCTCAGCCAGCAGGGAGGGGGAGCTAGATGCCTCTTCCTATTTACATCTCACCTTGTGCAATTCAGCTCAAGGGCAGGAGGAGGCAAGAGCAAAGGGACAGGGCTTCCACGGGCAGCCATGCCCCATCCTTATCTCACAAGGGAGGTATCTTGGGAGAGGAGGAAAAGAAAGACCTCCTGTTTACTTCCAGACAGATAAATCCTGGAGATTGGATTCCTAAAGAAAACTCTTAGGCAAAGGGGAGATATCTAGGACAAGTGTAGTATTTTGTAGTAGACCAGACAGGTCTAATGTTTCTATATCCTGCTCCATGTTTTCACTTATTCTATCATGGGAGCTGTCTTATACCAGTATTCTTAGAGGCTTTTGTTTGTCTCTTGCACACACTGTGTTGTGTCTTTATTTATTTTAAAGATTTATTTATTTATTACGTATACATCATTATGCCTCCAGATATGTCTACAGGCCAGAAGAGGGCACCATATCTCATTACAGATGGTTGTGAGCCACCATGTGGTTTCTGGGAATTGAACTCAGGACCTCTGGAAGAATAGCCAGTGTTCTTAACCTCTGAGCCATCTCTCCAGCCCCGTTGTATCTTTATTTTATTTTATTTTGGTTATTCAAGACAGGGTTTCTCTGTGTAGCTTTGTATGTTGTCTGTCCTGGAACTAACTCTTGTAGACCAGGTTGATCTCGAACTCAGAGATCCACCTGCCTCTGCCTCCCAAGTGCTGGGATTAAAGGCATGGGCCACCACTGCCCAGCTTTGTTGTGTCTTTAGGTTTGATTTCTAGAAACAAATCAAGTAAGAGAAGGAGTTTGTCTGAGTTGTAGAACTATGGTCATCTGTCTTGTGCTTAACAACAACTCCTTTAACAGTGCCCCATCTGGCTCACCAAAATGAGCAATATGCTATGTGACTGGCTACAAATGAACTTGCCAAAAAGATAGAAAAAAAATACAGAAGTCAAGAGACTATTTCCACTGTGAGCAAGTTCTGTGAGATCATACATCTCCATGGAAGGGGAAGTCTTTGTATTTTTTGATAAGTTTTTTAGGTTGGCATAAAATAGATTTCACTGTAGCATTTTCATATACATATATATGTATATATATATATGAATGTATATGTATGTATATATGAATTATTTTGCACTTTGTTCTTATTCATTTTCCCTCCCCCACTGACTTTCGCCATACACATCAAAGTGGTATTCTAAGCTGATCAAAACCTGAGCCTCTTCACTAGTATTTGGGTATTCCAAATTCAGTCTCAGGACTACCAACATGATGGCATCATCACCATCTCCATCACTAGGCATGTGTTAGCTTACAGATCCCTTGGTGCCTCCCTGATCTCTCTTAATAAGGTGGTCTGTGTGAAAACTGAACTTTACAATCTGATAGTGAAGTCATTCAAGGAAATTCATGATGACATTACTGGAGAGGTGAGATCTTGAGGTTAAGTAAAACTTGAAGAATGATGTTGTTTGAAACCCTGGATCCAGGGAGAGATGAGTTAGACACCCCTATTAATCAAAGAGGTCTTAAAGAATGTGTGGCCACTTTTAATCTTACAATTGCCATAAACATATGTGCACTGAATAAATCTCCACCGAATTATAAGTCACTATTAGATTGGAAAGAGGAGGCTTGAGTGTCCTTTCTGGTTCCACATTATTTGAAAGAAGGATCAATAAAATGATACAGAAGTGATGTGTTTCATAGTGATTCATAAACTTGGGACTTACATAAATAATTCCCATGACTTGCCCTCTGTTATTTAGATGCTCTCTGTCCTTCATTGCCATTATCTTAAGTTCACAATTAATGATCATGTTCAAGAAGGTTTGATTCATATAACTGTCCTCCAAGTTATGTGTCTATATTTCTCTCTCTTCCTCTCCTGAAATAAGCTTTGCTTCCCAGGGCATACATGATCTAGGGAAATAATTGTTTCTATATTATCAGTTTTTGTCTCTAAGACACTGACTCATCTCTACATATCGTCTCTCAGGAAAAACATCTGAGGAGAACTTCTGTCTGAACTATTGCATACGGATGTCTCTACACAATGCTTTCTTTCCCTTGCAACTGTAATCATAATTTTCCCAGTAGAGGAAAGAACACAGAGAGTTACAAAGTAGTCTATATTTTAAAAGTCTCCAAAATTTGCAAATCATTGTGATAGATTCTAAGGAAAAACAGGTGAAGAACCATGTTTTATTAGTCCTGAATTAGCACAATCACCTATATTAATAGTTCTGTATCCTGCTGCATTAGATTATAATCACTACTATTAGTTTAGAAAATCATTCTAAGAGGAAGATTTTAAAAGTTAAAGCTGGGATTTTCACCCCATTATTTTCTTTCAGGTAATTTAATGTGATAACAAAGATGAGATTGCTGTCAATCAAGCTGATCCCATCAGTAAACCATTTGACATTCAGTTGGATAACCTCTGAGAAAACATCTATTCCACTCACATTGATCCATTAAGTAGGCAACCTCAAGATTCAGGACGTCTTTGTGGAGATGCCACTGAAGCTGTGAATTTAAGGGAAATCATTGCAAAAAAAAAAAAAATGACCATAAAAAAAAAAATCCCCCATTGAGTCAGGGGAAGAATAGAAGAAAGGATATGTGAAAGGTAGGGTTTTAGTGGGGGGTGGGTAGGGGAGGACGGGAGGGAGAAGGGAATTGGGATTGTCATGTAAAACAATCTTGTTTCTAATTCAAATAAAAAAATCTGAAAAAAAAATCCCCCATTCTGAAGATTTTGTTTATGAAAGGAATGACAGGTCCAGTGGTCTGAAAGAGTCTCAAGAATCTCATGGAGTCGCTGGGAGAACTAATACTAGCCATGTCAATACAGCCATTAAGCAGGAATTCCAGTTTCCTCTTTTAGGGAAGCCACATAGAACATGTTTACTATCCCCAGCCTCCAGGAAGCCACTGACACTCTCTACAGAAGACGTGGGTCATCATCTGGGCCAAAGTGCCCAAGAATCACTGCAAAACATTGCCTATCATGCAGCTGCTCTCATAAGGGACCACATGAGTGACCCATACAGGATGGCATTTGTGACTGTGTTTTCTACGTTTGGAAGACAAAGAAGAAATCTGAAACAAATGTGAACCAACATTCAGAGGAAAATGTCCCCCCAAGATGCCAAAAGTTCTCCAAAATAAACTCATACATGTCAGGTTAATAGAATATTACTTTGATTTTCAAACCCTGAGATGACTCACCCTCTTTTTTTAATTCCACTTATCTTTGATTACTCTCTCCCAAGAGCATTGAGCTTAGAGCCATATTTGGTTTTTCAGGACGAGTTGTGGCTGCCCAGTCTGCAGGCGTCATTTCTCTGGAAGCTGTCATTTAAGCAATTCACTGCCAGACAGTTACAGGCAAAGGTGTTTGAAGGAGAATGTTGGTCATTGGAAACATCCCTCTGAAGGGCAAATCTCAGGCTCTCCTCTCTTCCCAGTGGAGGGATTTTGTGTACTTCAGAAGTCCTGTCTCCTGAACCCTCTCAGGGGAACTAGAAACTGATGCTGCCTCAAGCCTCCCTGGCTCGTTACTTCGAGACCAGGAATGTATTCCTACACATCTCATAATCTCCAGATACATAACACATTTCTGTGATGGAGCCAGCAGCTATTCAAGATGTCAAAGAGAACACTGGGAGTTTGTGTAGGGGGGCCAGAGGACTTGAGCTGATCCAGCTCCACAGGAAAACAACTTCTGAGGATTTACCACTGGAAGATCCAGGGCAAAGAACATAGAGTATTTTTGTTTTGACAGATTTCACAGCTGCAACAAAATGAAGAGTCAGTTCTGTATCTGTTGAAATGGTTGCAAGGCCCCTCAGAGAAACACCAGGGAAACCTTCAGGAAAGAATTTTTCATTCTCCACAACTGAATGAAGAATATGCAGCACTCTCTACTTAGAATCTGTTTGAATTTGATTTCTGTATTTCTCTTTGGAAATCTTTGCACAGTTCTGATTATTGAGATGCCTTCCTTTAACATATAACAAAATGGAATCATAGATGTTTAAAGACAGGTCCAAATTAAAAACCAACACAACACAGATGTTCATAAATCTTATCACAAATAAAATTCAACTCACACCTTAAAGGGTGCTTCCAAGAGAAGTGCCCTTTTAGTTGCTCAAAGAATTTTTCAGTTTTATAACTTACGTGGCATAAGCTACTGGTACGGATGATATTTTGTATTTTATTTTTCTTTATCCTAGTTCATATTATCCTCTTACATCTGAAATAGTTTGTCTTGACATAAAAAGCTTTAAAACCTACTCCTATTTGACACGAACTCAGAGATGCTTGAGTCTTGAATGGTCAGTCCTTGAAGCCTAACCAAAGTCTGAAAAATGAAGCAGAAACCAAAAGATCCCTGTTGTTTTGGTAGCCGGCAACATAGGGTGCTTTATCCTGGGCTGTGAAGAAACTCAATAGTTCAGGACTAAGCAGCCCTACCAGCAAGAACATGAATGGGGCAGCAGCATTTTTTTAATGCAACCACATACTATCTCAATAAAACACATGATTCTTGTGACAAAATTATTTGAGAAACTAATTGGAGCTGTTTTCAAAGCTTCATAAAAGCATGGCAAATAAGTTTTGAGCAACTGAAAGTGCACACCTGGCATTTTTAGTGTTCCCTGGAAACAGCAGTTGTTATGGTCAAAGGGAGGCCAGAAGAACGATAGAAAGTGAATTTTCAAGAAAGATCAACAACTAACAGTTTTCAAGACCCCCGAAGAGGAAATTCATATGCACACCAAGGCCACCAGATGTATAGAAAACATCTTTGGAGTTCGTGAGTTCTTAGACAAAGACAGCTCCCTTTTAGAAAAACTGGTAGAGATGGAGTTCAAACTGGAAGAAATGGAGTTCCTGTATAGTGACAAGATATGTAATGAGAACAACCTTGCAGAAAACACATGCAAACAACTACCCCATATTATGTTGACAGGGCATTCTGGGGAAGACTATATAATACTAATTCAAGGTGGGGCATTTGAAACAGCTGACCAGCTTGAAAGGTATTTGTTTTTATGACTCCAGTGTCTTGTTTTTCAAGAATGGGAAAGAAGGCAGGGATCTGAGATGCAAGTAGTAGTTATATAGAAAATTGAAACCAGAGACGTCCAGCATGATTTATTCAAGTGGAATATTTAAGAACTAGGAAGTTCCCAGGAACACTTTTTAAATAACTAACAGTGTGCTGTGACATAATTTGTTACCTCCTTTTGTCTTCATAAGACTTGAAATTACAGATATATGCAGAGAAGACTCTAAGTCAACATGCTGCAGACACACTTCCCAGAGGGGTCACCCACAGTCTTCTGGGTGGTAGTGATGGGATAGATCACGGTTATGAGTCCCTCCGTGATGCCAAAGGTGTCATAGATGACACTGGCAAGGGGGTGCTAAGCAATTGGTGGTGCAGAAAGTGCTGCTGACAATAGTGAGTTTTCATATTTCTCCTGGCCCATGCCCATCACAAGCATGGGACATCAGCAGAAAGAATAGACATGATGGCTCGCTTGGTTCCGCCCTTCGCGTGGGCCTCAGACTTACCCACAGTGGTGAAAACACTAGTAGACTCCACAACATACTCAGCCCCAGCACCATTCCACTTGATGTCAGTAGGATCTCATTCCCAGAAGATGGAGATGACTTTCCCATTCATGACAAGTTTCCCATTCTCAGCCTTGACTGTGCTATGGAACTTGCTGTGGGTAGAATCATATGCATAGTTAAGGCCAATGAAGGGGTCATCGATGGCAACAATGTCAGAGTTGAAGATAGTCCTGGTGACCAATATACTCAAATACACTCACTGCAACCTTCACCATCATGTCATAGGATCGATGCCAACACTGCACAAGAAGATGCTGCTGACAGAGAGAAGCAGCAGAGAGCCCATACATCTATTTTAAAAATATATAGCTGAACCTAAATTCCAGGGCTGAGGAGTGTTCTGCTCTGGCTCATTAGTGGAATTAGAATCATTTTCACAGTCAGTAATGTGAGCAAATATATGTGTCACCAATATAACAAAAACAAATTCATTAACAAATCATTTGGAAACAAGGAAGACATTACCATAAGATGGGAAAGAAGAAAGTGGTTACATAGATTTCAGCTATCTTTGTAAAAGGCAAACAGTTCCAAGTTCTATAAATAAGACTTGACTCATATGTTATATGCTATTTTTACATTCTGATAAACTGATGAGAGGACTAGTGAACTGAATAATTGAGCATAATACATACTGACAAATGAATGGACAGAGTCACCAAACTGGAAATAACAATTACATATATCTGGATAGATTAGAGCAAGATGTGGTGAATCACATCTGACTGTTTCACTAGAATATATAAAAATAATGAAGACCACAATTAATGAATTGGAGACTTATACTCTACCAGATACAGTCCTCAGAACGAGGAACCAGGTTAGAAAGATAAAAATACTTAAAACACAGAAGAATCATACCACCAAAGCCCTAGAGTTGAGACTGATAGTATGCTGTGGATTAGACCTGTTATCATAGCTGGAGTTAATAGCAATTTCTAAGCACATACTCTAGTCATGAAAATTTACAAAGGGTTTTATTCTTAATTACTTACTTTTACCTAATTGCAAATATTACACAGAAGAGGCATCTGGGGGCTTCTCTTCTCTTGCCTGACTATCCTGAAAGAACTGGATTGACAGACCTAGTGCTTTTTCTGACATAACACCATTTCTGGACACTAGCCAGGCAGATGGATTTTATTCACCCACAGCAAATTTCTGAAGATTTTGATATATTTAGGAAATGTCTAAAATGCAGCTTAATTTACAGGAGCCTAATTAAGAGATGCTTGTTGGATTTTTTTCTCTTTTCTTTTGTAAAAGACACACTCAATGTGATCTGTTTATTTCTCCAAGCTGAAGTAAGTGTTTACACGTGCTTCCAAATTACAGTAGGGAATTATCCAATCTAGTGGGTCATGGGTAGCCTATCAGGGCTACGTCCCTGAAGAAAATTGATTCTCCCTTCACCAGCAGACATCAAATTGCCAGCAGGTTCTCAGTTAGGGGTGACACTTCATGAGGCTTGATCTTGCATAAATCTTGTTCTACAGATGTTTTGAGTTCATGTAATAGAAGCCTTGTGTGGATTGCAATTAATTCGGATGGTAATAGAGTCAGAACTAGTTTGAAAAACAGATTGTTTATTAGGAAGTATTCACACGACGGAGCCAGTCCTGTACCACCAGTCATGAGAGGGAACAGAAAGATGCATGCACGTGACTCTCATATTTAAAGCCTTGCTACATCACTCTGACCACACCCAAGTGTTCATGGTCAGTGTCACCTGTGCCAGCCCCCAAATGGGCATGGATAGCATTTCCGACTACAGCCCTGTCATGCCCAGCAAATGTTGTTTCACTTTGGATGCCTGCTGCTTCTGGATCTTACTATCTTGGTGAGGGGGTGTGATACAGAAACCCAGTTTACAGCTCCAGTTGAATACTTGTGGGTCTCTGTATTAATCACCATCTACTGTAAAAAGAAGTTTCTCTGATGAGAATTGAGAAATACCACTGATCTATGGATATAAAGATAAAC